CAGGCTGTAAAATTTAAAATGGATCAAACAAAATACCTTCCCCCCCGTAACAAGTCCTCTGCCCGGCCTTCTCCCTGGGGCCCACTGGCTGCCCCACTAAAGCACAGAGAGACTTTTCCTTCTTTTCCGTCTGCAGCACCCGTGGCTTTATTTACAGACTTCTCCCACCCCCAGTGATATACTATCTACAGTTTGCAGGCCTTACAATCTCCACTTCCACCCAGAGCCTGCCCTCAGCCCGGCGACCGACTGACTGACTGACTTTCGCCAGGCCAGGCCAGGCCATCCCCCCCCCCTTCTGTCTGCCAGCCAGCCTTTATAGCCCTTGAACCCTCAGGCCCACAGGTGCAGCCAGTTCTAAAGGCCAGGCACCAGACTTCTCCCCAGCCCCAATCTATTTCCCCTGATTGGGGCTGGCTGAGCAGGGGCTAATTAGGTGCCTGTGCACCAGCATCCTGCTACACCGCCAAAACACAGTTGGCCGGAGGAACTCATGGCCACAAGATTTCATTGGAACCAATAGTTTAGGAGGATATGAAACAGGATTGGACATTTATTGGGAGACGATGAACATCCAAAGTTAGAATAGTGAAGGTTCAAAATACAAATGAGTCTGGATCTAAAATTGTCAGGGTTAAAACGATTTCTGGAGATTTGGAAGAAAATTCCCCCACTGGGAAGTTATTCCATAATTATCCACTAGGTGGTCTCTTGTACCAGCTAGTGTTGGCATGTTCAGATGACACTCCCTTTGCATCTCAGCAGAGTCCCTCCCCAATCCAACCGCATTTCTTCCTCCCCGGTAGATATTTCACAAAATAACTGCAGCAAAATGCCTCACAAACAGGTCCCACGACCTTGACTCTGTGGTGGTCGCCTGCAGGGGACTGGTTTTGTGACCCATCAGTTCCCTTCCAGTCCTGTGTCCCTGTCAACAGCAGAGAGTGGAAAAGATGAGCTTAGAGCACAGGGTCCTCTACGCTATAGGCCTCCCCGTGGGCTACCTTCTCTCTCCCACGACATGTCGAACATTCTGTACAATCTAGGATGGGAAACCTTTGTTACAAAGTCCTTGCAAAGACCCGCACAGCACAAGACATTTGCAGCACACAAGAGGATGTTTTATTGGTCCAACAAGGCCCAGGCAGACGGAGAAGGCACTGGCAGAGACTATGAAGGATTTACACACATACAGACATCTCGTTTCCAGAGCACGCTCATGGCAGCCTTGTTGCTGTGCCAGGATTCCAGACAGATCAGTTCTTTGACTCCAGTGGACTCCAGATTTTTAACCCAGCACCCTCCCTGCCCAACCAAGACCCATCCAGGCTGCGACCACCATCAGTTATCAATTGGTCACTATGAAATGCCACACAATCTTATCCCAGAATCCCGGCACGTCGACGGTGTACTGGGTGCTTCCCTCTTAGAGCTGGAAGACGTTGATGGTATTTGCCCCTTCCCCAGAGATGAACCCCAGCACCCGCCCATCACTCTTCACCACCATCATGGCATTCTCCTGGATGTGCTGGGGCTCTCTGGAGAACCCATTCTTTGCCTGCTCCAAGCAGGACTTCGGCCCTTTAGTCATCTCCCTCCAGCAGATCATCATGGCCATGACTTTGTCCAGGTTCTCCAGGCTCCGCACCAACATCCCGCTGGGCAACTTCTCCACTGGACTGTCAAAGTCAGGGAGGTGCACCCTATAGCAGGGCACCCTCTGGACGTAGGAGACATCGATGGTGCTCTCGCCCTGGCCTGAGATGAACTCCAGCTGCTGCCCCTCGCAGCAGATCACCAGCCGGGCGTTCTCCTGCAGGCAGCTGGCCTCCCGGCTGAACGTCAGCAGCGCATGGTCCAGGCACTCCTCCATGGGGCGAGAAAGGCCACCCAGAGACGCCAACCGATTCCCCACCTTGGCGATGTTCTCCACGCTCAGCACCTCCGGGCGGGTGGAAATCAAGGCACAGGGATCCATCATCGGTCCCTCGTGGCGGTCCCACGTGCTGGTGGACAAAGGGGGTGGATGGAGGCTTGGTAACAAACTCACTGGCTCTGAAAGTGGGAGAGGAAACAGGTCATGGGGTCTGAGATCTCCCTTTGAGGCACAGCTGAGATGAATGTGTGGAGGACTCAGCCTTGTTGGGGGAATGGAGCTGGTGGAAAATGAAACGTTGGGTCTGATTTCAGTTACACTGGAGCAATTCCACTGGCTTCTCGATTTACACCAGAGTCACTGAGATCCGAATCTGGCCCTGATCTCCAGCCCTAGGGCACCTGGGTTCTAACCTGGCTCTGGAAGACCAGGGGGTCTGGTGGGTTACAGCTGGAGAGGATGGGGGGGCTGGAAGCCAGGACTCCTGGGTTATATCCATGGCTCTGGGAGGGGAATGGGGGCTGGTGGGTTAGCGCAGGGGGAGCTGGGAGCCAGGACTCCTGGGTTCTGTTAGGATTTGTCTACACCTGAAGCCCAATTTGGATTAAGGCCGGGTGCAAACGTAAAGCGCAGTTGCTCTTCCTGACTCCATCTAGGCACTCTCTCATTTCAGAATTGCTCCACGGTTCTACAAGCCCTTTTCTTGGCTACACCCTGCGGGATTTAGAAACAGCAACCTCTTGGCCAGAGACACAGGGAGGCAGGGGGCCCTCGTCCATTTATCTGTCTCTCTGTCCTGGTACATTAGGCACTGGGAGGGCGGGTAAAGGTGGCATCTCAGGGTGACAGAGGAGCTGGGCACAGGGTTGGGGTCCCCTCACTCCCGACCCACAGCCCCTGCTTTCCCAGCCCTGCCCCCCCGCTCTGCCGGTGCCCCTCACTCCCGACCCACAGCCCCTGCTAGCCCAGCCCTGCCCCCCCCCGCTCTGCCGGTGACCCTCACTCCCGACCCGCAGCCCCTGCTAGCCCAGCCCTGTAACACAGTGGCCCACCGAGCACCTTCGAATTTACTTTTTATTATCTACAGCTCAAGTCGGAAAAAATGAAACATCTCTTTCCCGCACAGGCCCGGGGAATCCCGCTGTACAGATGCAGCTGCCACCCCGCCTCGCACCCCCCACCGATCGGCCCATTCCTTCCATCAGGGACAACACACACACACACACCCCGCTTCCCCCAAATGACAGAGGGACGAAAAACTACCCGCAAAAATCACTCACTTTCCCCTTCTACCAAATTGCTCTGCGCCCCCACGTTTAACAGGGGGCATTTGGCTGGGGCCGCAGCCTCTGGTAGCCCCTGATTCCCCACCCACAGCCCCCCCGCTGTCCCCCCCCAAACATATCCGATGCCTACACCGCTAAACCCCAGAGAACCTCAAACTTTTTGAGGGGTGCAGTCCAGCTGTTCACTCCCCAGTACTGATTTTGGGGGCCCAGTGGAAAGATTCAATAGCCCCTCATTTGGAGGTTCCCTGCCCACGGGTATCCAACACCCCAAGTTTCCAGCAGTCAATGCTCCCCCCAAAACGGGATCAAGCTCTCAGCGGAAAGACCACAGCTAATATTTTGGGGCTCCCAGGCCACTGAAAAGAACTGACTGGCATCCCACTCCCCTATAATTCTGGGGTCCCCGCTCCGATTTCCCCTACCAGCCCCCCCAAAATATAGAGGTTCCACCATCTGAAAGTCCTCCCATGGTACAAGGCCCCCGCCGGACTGATAGTCACCCCAAAAATGCTCTGTCTCCCCTGTAACCAAATAGATCCAGAGCCCCCCCAACAATACATTCATCCTGGGGTTCTCTTGGATCCGCTCCTCCCTCCCCCCAATTCCTGATTGTCTTTGGCACATTTAAATGGCAAAAAAATCAGTAGTCCAAGATAAAGTCTTAGTAGTCCTAAGCTGTCTGGGAAACGTAGATTTTCATTACAGGAGGAGGCAGGCAACCTCCAACCCCCCCAACAGAGTGGGGATATAGAGAACCCAGGAGTCCTGGCTCCCAGACCCCCTGCTCTAACCCACCAGCCCCCACTCCCCTCCCAGAGCAGCAGGAGACAGATTGACCCCCCCACACACACACACCACCACCTACTCCTCAACAGCCGACCCCGCGTCTGGCCCCCTGCCCAACTTGGTGGCCATCTTGACCCTCTCCACCGCTTGCCGCAGGTGCCCAGCCGGGTCCCCTCTGACGGCGGCCACCGCGTGGGCCAGGCCCAGCTCCAAGCCCCCCGCCAACCTGTCACAGCCCGGCAGGAAGTAGTGTGGGCAGGCCCCGGCCCCCAGGCCGGCGGCCATGTCGTCCAGCAGGCCCAGCAGGCAATGGGCGGCGTTCTCCTCCCGGCCCAGGTAGCGGGCGGGCAGGCGCTCGCAGGCCCAGAGCACCAGGGTCCAGAGGTGATACGGCCCCACCCGCCTGCCCCAGGCCCCGCCGAGGGCGGCCCGGGCGGCCCGGTAAGCCTGGAGCAACGGGGGCGGCACCGCCTTCTTGAGATGGAGCTCGCTCCGGGAGAAGGACAGACGCCAAGCCAGGCCCGAGGTGTCTACCAGACCTGAAGCCTCGCACCAAGCCGGGCCCGAGGCCTCCACCGGGCCTGAAGCCTCACGCCAAGCCGGGCCCGAGGCCTCCACCGGGCCCGAAGCCTCACGCCAAGCCGGGCCCGAGGCCTCCACCGGGCCCGAAGCCTCACGCCAAGCCGGGCCCGAGGCCTCCACCGGGCCCGAAGCCTCACGCCAAGCCAGGCCCGAGGCCTCCACCGGGCCCGAAGCCTCACGCCAAGCCGGGCCTGAAGCCGCCACAGGGACTGAGGCCTCATATGAAGCTGGGCCCGAGTCCTCCACCGGGCCCGAGGCCTCATGCCCAGCCAAGCCAGAGCCAGGCAGGAGGTAGAAGCCCCCGGCCACGTCCTCCTCCCTCAGCTTGCCGTCCCAGAAATGGCTGCGGCCCAGCCACTCGCGTGCTGCCGCCGGCCACCCCTGGAAGGCCACCACGGGCAACACGTCGTAGAGCACCCGCACCTCGCCATGGCTCAGGAGCAGGGTCACGAGGCCGCCCTGGCCGGCCACCCGCTCCACCGCCGGCCCCCCTCGGCGCGGGGCGGCCCGGGCCCGGTCCGCCACAGTGCCCAAGGCCTGGGAGAACCAGGCCGAGACCAGGCCCGGGGCGAGGTAGGCCTCGTTGCCGTGGTGACGGCAGCAGTCGGCCCAGCGGTGGCAGGCCTCGGCCCCGAAGGGGGCTAGCGCCAGCCAGGCGTGGCCCGGCGGGCACCGGCGCAGGTCCAGGGTGACGGGGCAGCCGCGGGCTTGGAGGATGGGCACCAGGAGGGTGTAGTCAGCGTCGTAGTCGGCCCCCGGGGCCAAGCAGCCCAGGACGCCTGGGTCCACGTCCACCGTGCCCTGGCGGGCCCCGCCAGAAAGAAGGAGGTATTCGTTGGCCAACGGGAGCCTCCCGTCCACCTGCTGCACAAGACCTGGCAGGAGAGAGGACGAGGTGCTAGGAAAAAAGGAACCGAGGTGTCTAGGGTTACCATATTTTGTGCCTCCGAAAGGAGGACACTCCACGGGGCCCCGGCCCCGCCCACGCCCCCGCCCCAACTCCGCCCCTTCCCCAAAGTCTCCGCCCCCTCCCCTGCTTCCCGCGAACATTTGATTCGCGGGAAGCCTGAAGCAGGTAAGAGAGGTGTGGGGGAGGAGGCGCGGCCCAGGCTGGCCCCCCCCGGCATTTCCAGCCTGGGTCAGCTCGGGCCCTGGGGTGCTGGCCCCGGGCCCG